ACACGCGATAAAGCTCATTTGCAGCTTGCCTCTTTGCCGCCAGTTCGTTCGGCTGCCATGCTTCCAGGCTGTACATGTGTAGGATTGTTGTCCCGTCCGAAGTTTTTCGTCCGGCAATCGCAGCCGTGCATCGATCATCGTTCGCTCTTATTTATTTGGACCCGTCCGGGAACCAGGTCACTGGTAACGAGACGCTGTTATTCGAATCGCGTGTCAGACAATAGCCTTGTGCCCCGATAACGTAAACTCGAACGCGAATGTGGTCCACGGATTCACGGACGCTAATGTGGTCTTCTGTTGATCTACAGTCGATGGGAGAAGTTTTTGGAATTAGCGATCGATTTTCGGAAATTCGACGAAATAACGGGTATTTTTTTAATTTCTATTTGACGCAGTAACTTGGGAATATTCATAGTAATGTACAGTGATATAGCAACGCGGTGATGTTTAGAGTATAGTAACATATAAGTAGTAATATAGGAAAATAGTAATATATGTAGCAGTTTAGTAAAACGATAATATCTAAAATAGAGTAACATCAAGTGATAATATAGTTCCATAGTGGTATAATAATACCGTGACATAATAATATACTATATTTGTTATTCGCGAAAAAGATTTTGCTAGCATCACCGTAGCGTAAATGAAATTTTCGAATTGTGTGTCAAAGTATAAGTAGACCTGCGATCTACTTACCAGTTAAAATTAAACGAATTTTTAATTTTGTCTAGGCAAACAGAGTGCTGTAGTGCAGAACGACGATAATTAGTGATAACGGGACTGGCATGGCTCGCGAAGAAATTAGAATGATCGATGCACGGTTCGATCACGCCACCGCGTTCGATCGTGACTCATGGCGGCGGATCGAGGCACGCGAAGGGGTCGCTTGGATCGCGGTCCCTCGGGGCCGCCGCATGAATCACGAGCGGCGCGATTGTTAATCGTTAAGTTTATTAATTAGTATGTACGCTCTAATAATTGTCCACGTCTTATCTTGTTGACTAATGATGTTGCTCTTGCATTATGTTCGCAGAACGCGTCAAAAGATAAGGTAAAGCTTTAAACGATCAACTCGTAGATCGGCATGCTTCCGTAGGGGAGAGTGTGCGTGTGCGTGCGTGTGTTAGAAAATACATAGATCGCAACGGATGGTGTGAACGGAAACGATGCAACAGGATCGATAGGATAGATTGAGAAACGCTTATCCTCCTTAACGATTTCGGGACCGCAATTACGTTTTTTCCGGCACACTCACTTCATACGACTCACGTTTTTTCTCATTTTTCTACATTCACGCTCGACGCATTTCTTTTCTGTGTCTTCCGAATCATTTTTTCTCGAACGCGGACTCTTCTCTCACTTCTTTTTGTCTCGCTAACACTTTTTTCACTTGCACGGCTTTCTGGATGACGTTACGGGGAGAGAAGATCGATGAAATCCGGCGAAACGTTCGACACGAAATTCTCGATTACACGAGACCGATGATTTTTTGAACATCTTTCGATTTTTCACGGTTCCATAGTGCGCGATTTTTAGCCACGCGAGGACACGAAATGGATTTTTAGCAATCAACGACCTAATTTCTCGCGCAAGTGCGGAGCAGCGGTTTTCAACTTCCGATCCGCGGAAACCTGGTCCCGTCAATCGAGTTTTCTGATTTCCAGTCGAACCCGATTCGTAAATTCCAATTGGCAATCGAAAATCTATAGGAAACTTCAATTCAACCCTTGCGTTGGGTACTTGACTATCCATTTTTATATTCTCTTCCGTGAAGTTTGCTATTTTCCCGTGCAAAATTTAACGAAATTGCCTTGGATCTCAAATTTTAGAATACACTTGTAACCGCTTGTCTTCTTGCGGCTCTACATAAACAAAATTTATACAGAAATGTAATATCGACGTTCGTGTATTCGAACGGCAAACGTTTCGGTTGCCGGAAGAAGGGTTGAATGAAACAGAAAAAAGAAACAGAAAGGATTCCGCGAATAAAATCGGGAATCGCTGCCGCAGATAATCCCCGCGCGAAAATGTCCACTGCGCGTTAGCCCGCTTTGCGAAGGTTTCACCTTGACCTGGCTAACCCGGCGTGTGCGAATTTGAGCCACGTTGCCACGAACAATCAAAATACAGCGGCGTTCTCACGCGTGTTCTCTGAATTTTGCAGAAGAAACCCGACTGGTCGAAGAAGGGCGAGGAAAAGAAGGTAAAGGAAGAAGAGGTGGAGGCATGAGAGACACGGTGACTCGGTCTCGACATATTCGAGAAGGGATCGTCCATCCGTCTACCCGATACCATCTCTCGACGCAAGAAACTCCAAAAACCGCCAAAAAAAACCAAAAAAAAACACAAGCG